GATCCTACTACTGTACCCTTGTTCTTCCACATCCTGTATTATTTTTGTCTTCATTTTTTGTGATGCGTCATATGCTTATCCTACAAGTCCTTTGCAGCAGTCTGCATGTAACTGGCACATGGGACCTTGACTGGGACCTGTTGTAAAAGGCCAAAATAACAATAACAATAGTAATAATGTTATTAAGTTGTGCTAGTCAGAATCTAGATCCATGATAAAGGAAAACCTATGTAAAAACAAATGTCCTCAATCAGTAGTCTGAATCTGAGAGGAAAAATAACCCCACTTAGGACTTGGAGAGCTGAAAGCTTTCATTCTTGCACAAAAAGCAGGGACAGTGCCTGAGAGCTATTTTTAAACCCACATTATGTATCCTTCAAGCTACACAACATAGTTGTGTTACAAACAATTTAATAAAGTGAGCTGAACTGTGTCAACCATGCATGATTTACATTTTCCTTTTACTTAAACTATGTTTCAAACCCTTTTCCAGATTACACATACAGAGACTATCAAGAATATCATCCACGGTATGTTGAAGATAAAGTTCACTTTGATTTAGGAAGGGTGATAGAGAGTGGTAGGTTACTGGGGATGGAGTTGAAGGGATGGCGTAGCATTGGTCTTATATTTGTCTACAAAGAAACATCTACTTCTGGCAGATGATGCATTCCTTTTAAAGGAAACAGGGAAAAAATTACATCACTTAAATACAGGAAAATACTTCACTCATTTTATAAAAGAAGGGTGGGATTGAATAAGCTGTGATATCAGTCTAAGTGGGCATTTATTATTGCTTAACCATGGAGTGAAAAGGAGATCTCAGAATTCTGCCTCAATGGTCTGAAAAATCATGACTTCCCCATATCTAAGGATTCACATTTAGACAGCAGCTAGAGCAGGACCAGGTCATATGCCATGCCCAGTCTGGCTGCTCCAGATCACATGCTAGAATGCAGACCAAGTCTGTGGGTCAGTTCAGCCCGTGGACTGACCCCATACCACTCAGCTGCCTCACAGTACCAGATGAATTGGGCACCCTTGATGTAAAGTATCTAATCCGTTGTTCTAGGGCATGGTTTCACACAAACACTGGAGGATGTCAGATGATTTGTAATGTTGGTCAGGGACTACAATTGCTATTTTGATTTTTTTGTTTTCTGATCCTCCTTTGCCTTTTATGCTTTTAGCATTTTGTGTTTCAAGGGATGTTATTACTGCTTACAAATACATCGGGGCAATAGGTGAACGCACATAAGGGAGAAGAGATATTCTAGCTAAAGAAGAATATTGGCACAAGAACGAATAGGTATAATCATTTAGGCTGGAATTTAGAAATACTCTAACCACCAGAACTGTGGATCATCAGGAACAGCCTTCTAGTAATATAGTAGCAAAGCAACATATCTAAATGGTAAAGATGGAGCTCCATAAGTTTATGAAGAAGGATATGGTATAAGATACGATTATTGGCAGTAACACGACTGGACAGTGACCCAGGAGATCCCTTCCAGACACAGGTCCTGGAAATGCTGGATAATATTGATATCAAGCATGGCTCTTACAGATATTAAATTATCCAAGGTATGTCCCAAAGATATAGTTAACACACAGAACTGTGAGCTGCCCCTCTAAAAATAAAAAAATCAATACTCATTTTCTCTCACACACTGCTTCCCACATGTATTAAAATTATCATCTTTTCTAAGACAGGTACAATCTTATTTCTATCTATGTTTAAAGTGCTTAAAACAACAAAATCTTAACCTCTGTTAAGGCTTCTAGGCACTACTGCTTTATAGGTGACAAAAATCAAGTTCAGTATGTGCAGCATCAGCACGAACTGGTTATTTCTTATTCCTCATTGCAGTGACGATGACTATTACACTGAAGAATGCCCAGTTTATGGCAACCTCAATCAAGAGGTCCTAGGTAAGACTTGTCTTAATCCTGAGAAATTGTTATGCAGAAATAATATTTTACTGGATGTTATTACTGGAACAACTGCATGATTGGGATATACTTAGATAGGTTTCAAATGCATCGCTTTCAGAACTGAAAATAATTTAAAATCTTGAACTATGTTGCTCCAGTTGCTTCTAGTTGTTCATTTTAAAATGAAGCTTATCAGATTTACCGCATTTATTACCCTAATTGTGACATGGTACATTGGAACCAGGACAGTGCATAACGATTTTGGAGGAGAATGAAAACTGAGTTTGGTAAATAGTTTTACTTATAGTATCTCAACAAACACGTGAGGGCTTGTCTATAGGCAGGGGGCTGCTGTTTAATGTAAAGTGCAGTGCTATACTCATGCATAAAGCTGTCTGGACACACTTTTTATGTAAACAGCTTTATTTGTTTTAGCTTAATTAGACTGGGAACAGGTTTAAAATGAACTGAAATCAGCAGCTCAAACTGAAATAAGACTGTCCACATGGATTTCAACTGATTCAACTAAACCACTTTCAGTTTGTATATCAACACCTCCTTAAGCAATGAGAAAGGGAGGAATCCATTTTTACCAGTGCCTAAAGAGGTCCTAAGAGAGGAAATAACTTGACCCAAGTTTGCACTAAATTACTGTCAGAATCAAAAGCTGAATCTAATTACTCCGACTCCTAGCAACTTCCAACACTGACCGACCAACCTGTCCAGGTCGGGTCCCTGAGGAGCCTTGCTTAGCTCGGAGAACTGACAGGTCACATTGCTAAAGGCACTGTCAAGATCAGTGGTGCTCAACCTTCAGCCCTCTAGACCAGATGAGAGACAAGGAGCCAGTTTGTGGGCTGGATTCTGTGGGTGGGGTTGGTCTGCAGGCCAGATCCAGCATAGGGTTGACATGTAGTGTTAGTCTGCAGGTGTGATCTGGCTTGCTAGTATGGCCTCACATGTGGGATTTGGCTGTGGAGTGACCGCACACACCAGCACAGTTTCCAGACCCATGGGGAATCTCTAAGCTGGATTTGGCCCACAGGCCAGAGGTAAACACCTCTGGTCAAGACTGTTCATGATTTAAAAGTTATCCCAAAATTAAAAAAAAATACTTGCTGGACAGCCAAAATTGCTGTCCAGTTCCACAATCACAAGAATAAATAGACCCATGTATAGGAAGAAAATGAAATTAAGTCTGGATTTTCCTCTTTTCCCAAAGGAGAGCAGAGTGAGCATTTAATTCTGAATTTTCATTTCCACTAATGTAGATGTGGGAGATGCAGGTCTATCCTGGAGCGTTTCTGCGTATCTTTTCATCATAGACAGTATCTCATTACCATTAAGAAATATTTTTCCTTTTTTAATAAGCCTTGGAGGAATGTTGCTATGAACAGATGACAGCTCAGCCCCAGAGACCCTCTACTGGATTACAGGTATCCTTATTTCTACCTTTCTGTTTAGCCTTCATCATCAACAAACACATTTTATCTCCAACTCCTTTCATGGGTCCATTAGTAGTGGTCAGCCCCAGCCTCTTCTGCAGTAAAGAGTGGAAAAGTTACACTGCCTTCAATTCCAGTTCAGCCAAGCACTTAACAGTGTACTTGGTGATTTTGCCAAATCCATGCCTTAATGAGGACATTTGATCATTGCAAGCAGCCAAAGAGTAAACGCGAGTCATAAGGACACAGCTCTAAGCAAACTGTGGGTTTAATGACATGGATTCTAGAGGGGTTAACAAGGAATTTGCTCCATTGTGTCAAAAACATCAGCTTAGCCACTAACAAGTAATGACCTACTGAAATCACAATTTTGAGGAAAACATGAAAGCTGGCTTTGCCTGTGGAAGTGGGCAATGTCTGCAAAATCTGCAGGTAAAAAAAAACTTACTGAAAATAAAATGCTGGCTCCCCAGTTGGAGCCAGCAGTCCTCACAGTGCTGTGGCCCAGCTGTGCAGCCTGCCAGAGGGGAAGCTGTGATGGCTGCCAGCATACCAGGGATCCCAAGATGGCTGCTTCCCCTACCCCTCACTGCTGATTGGCTATGAGGGCTGGCTGCTTGTCATGGAGCTCTGCCCCTCTCCTCCAGTCAGCAGTGGGGGGTGGGGCCACAATGCAGACAGCCCTCTCAGCCAATCAGCAGTAAGGGGTGGGGCCATATGGACAGCCTTTGCAGTCTATCGGCAGCGAGGGGCAGGGCCCTGGGGACACCTTGGTCAGGGGCATGGTGGGGGTGGGGGCAGCCATGATAAGCCCCCAAAAATGACAATCAGCCCCACAATCTGCCTGTGAAATTGCCCCGCTGCCTCTGAGTTGGGCCAACCCCTACTAATAAGTGAAGTTACATATTAAAATATGTTGAAGGTATTTTAGGATTTTGGCTACTAATCATTTATACTGTGCTCATCAGATAATTTCTAAATACATTATGTATTTAAAAAAGAAGATGTGGCAGGATAAGAGAATCCTTAGTTTTGGGGCAAAAGGTACTACCTATTATTGAAAAATAAGTAATGACCTAATAAATGAGGTGCTAAAATCTGAGTCACCAGCATGGCATTGCTTGCTGTAGACTTCTGCTTTCAAAATAAAATACATAAGCTCGGAGCCAGAAATATACTGGGAAAATCTAAATCAATACTTGACCGATTGTGGTGTGGCAGACCCAAGCCACATGCCCTGCAATTTACAATGTCTGGACCATAGTATAGTCATTACCATGACTGCACTCTAAACTTGCACAAAAGCTTAAAGGGTGTAGTTGTTCAGCCAAGGATTAATACTGTACAAATATTAGTAAATACAATGATTCTCCTCTTAGGTGCAACCTGAAAATCAGATGTGCTACGCGTCTCTGGATCACAGCATTAAGGGAAAACACAGAAAACCTAGGAAAAAAAAAGCTCCGCTAGAAGAGGAGGAAGACAGGACATCTAAAAGCAGCACACTGGCTTCTAAAGCTAGCATTTATCTCAATAGTGAGCAGCTAGCTGCTGAAAACATGGAAACGGAAGCCATTCATGATGACCCCATCAGATTATTTGGTTTGATTCATAAAGCAAAGGAGAAAACATTTGAAGGGGATTCATGACCCAGCTGAGTCATCATACCAAACAAAGGGTCTTCTGCCTGGTCATGCAACAGGAAGATGCTGCATAAAAAGGATTAAAAACCTGGTAAATTAATGCACCAATCAATGGTACAAATGGATAAGAGATGTCACAAGCAACTGCAGACTAATTTAGGCCAGTAAATAGCAAGACATTAAACCTTGACTGCTAATTCTGAGGCCACCTGAAGAAGAGCTGGACACCCACGTATCCACCCATTTCCCAAGGGAGTTGCAGGAGCTGCAAACCTCTCAGAATCTGGCCCCAATTAGCTGTTGCAATGTGTTGTTATGCTATTAGGTTAGATTCAGTCCTTTTATTTTACCCCTTTTTCTGAAATGAAATCAGAAAGCCCCAGTCAGTCCTCTGCAGTTTACTAGCACATTCTGACTGTTATTCTTTATAGTTTCATACATTATTCTGGAATTAGAGGCACCTTAGGATTGGTGTATTTAAGATTTTGGTTGATTGTACAATTAAAAACTTGTTATGCTGTACTTCCCCACTGTGACCTACAGTAACATGTCGTTATATTTAAGTTTAGAGAATAATTGAGCAATTTCAGTTCATTTAATTCAGTACTTAAACATCCAGAAAAACTTAACAATTCCCTTACGTGTACTTTTGGTTTCCTTTTGGTGACCTTTTCCAGAATGAATCTCCCTCCTTACTCTTCTACTAACGTAACATTTCATCGGCTATTTGTAAAGAAAATGGTAAATGATCCAGAAAAACAAACCTCCTAGGGAAGATTTTTTCCCCCATAATTTTCTATTTGATTCTATTGGGCGTGTCTACACAAGATGCTAAATACACAGTAGTATTTCTAACCACACATTACCTAATTCTACCACATATTACCATCACTAAGAAGGCGCAGTAGTGCCAGTTACTGCTAATGAACAGATAATTTCTAATTTCTCAATGGAGTTAGTACCTGTTATAATAGGTACTAAACTTAATGTGCAGTAACTGTGGCACATTAATGCACATGTAGACATGCCCTGTGACTTTACATTGGTGCTTTTAAAGCTATTTTAGGAAAGTAGAAAGGCCCTTTTATTTCCAACAGGATTCAAATGGTGCATGCACCATATTTGGACTTTTGTCATGCTAAAAGTTATTTGGGGAAGGGTCTTGTTCTTTTTTTAATATATGAAACATTTTGGGTTTGTGTAAATATTAATAATAATAATAGGTCGTGGTTGTAATGGTGCCACCTTTGGGTACATATTTTTCTCTGATGAAGGGCATCAGGAGCTCTTCACATGCAAAACAAACAGAATATGAATGGTCAGGGTTCCATCTGAAAATATTAAGTAGTACTTGAATGTGTCTGCATCTTTCTTAGAATGAAAGTCTCCAAAAGAATAGCTAATATGAAGGAACCAGGAAAAAATACTAGTAGTGAACAGACAATGTATTTTGCACATTGTGATAAAAACCAATCTGAGATTTTCAAAAAATAAGAAGATAAGCTTGAACTGAAATACAAGAACGCTAAAAGAGGAAGTTTATCTTACCCATATCAAATCTGAAGGAAGTATTTATAGCTTAGTTACTACAGTAGATCCAAGAACACAACATCTATCAACAAACTCGTGCTTAACCTTACACACCAGAAAAATACACACACACACATGTACATAAACAGCCTGAGAGAGAGATTGAATATTGAACTCAGTTGATATACCAAACACGCATAGGGCTAAACCCCCCCCAAACCTCAAAGGCAATTAATTAACTTATTTAAATTACCTGTCAAGCAGACAACCCTGGTGACAAGGGGCATGTGTAGACAAAATGGGGGCCCTAAATTGAAGCAGAGGGGTTTAAAAAACACTGCTACAGTTTAGGGCCGATCAAACCCTTGTGTTGTGCACACACCCCACTGACTTACCTGTATCTCCGGTGGACAGGGGAGGCGAGCTTATGGCAGGTGGAGTGGTCTCTGGGCGGTGGGGGGTGTAGGTGCTTCCCCCCGCAGCAGCAGTCCCCCCCGCCCCCCAGGCAGCACCTGCATGCAGGCACCTGGCTCGGGTGGTTCCGGGGGGAACCGCAGCTGTGGAGGGAAGCACCAGGCCCCCATACACAGTTCAGACAGCAGGCTCTGCTGGTGGGGGGGG